TGACATTATGATATTCCTGGCTCACAGGTTTTTTGCCTAGTCTCAAATGAAATGTTACATTTGATCTTGAACTGCAATCCAGTTTCTTCCTTTTAAGTTGTCATACAAGTTAAATAGTATAGTCTGGGCACTGAAGGCAAGCTAGAAATAGCAGGTCTGAGACCTGCACAGTAAATTGATCCTGGGTTTTGGCACGATGAGCCAGTCAGATCTGAACTGTGTTTCTGCAGCCAGATGACTTCTGCTACCTGAACTTGTTCAATTACAACTGGCTTTGATATCTCCACACACAGCTGCAATACAACCACACCTTCTCTTCCCCATCCCTCATTTCAATCCAAATTAACAAAACAAGTGACTACTGTCAATAGCCAATAATAATTTCTAAAAAATTCCACTCGAGGCCAAATTAGCTTTTAACTACAGATCCAAAAATCTCATAAGCCATCACACAATAGGGTTAACCTATTTGGGCTCTCAACCCTGGCTTTTTCAGGGGTCCTTTCTGTTACCGGGTTACACTGAAAGGGAAGCCAGTGTGTTTTCTTTGTAACCATCAGTTACTTCTTACTAAACTTTGCCACTTAGTGACTTTAGCTGAAGGCTGTAAAACACAGAACATAATGCTTGAATTTCATAGAACAGCCCACATTGCAAGGGACCTAAAAAAAATCACCCAGTGCAACCTTTCATAGGAAAGGGAACCTAGATGAGGTGATCTATCACCCTATCCAAGGACATCTTGAGAACTTCCAGTGATTTGCCCTGCTTTTTCAGTGATATTTAAAGGGAAGGCTAATAAGAGATTCAACCTTTCTGCTTTTATGGCAAAGATTTTAGGAATCCAGTTAGCAGATGGGAGTCCTACAACAGCCATCTCAGGTATACTTGCAGCAAGAAGAGAAGGAAATGACAGGTCAAACATAAGAAAGGGATAACTGGGACAACTGGGCAGAACTGATCTGGAAATCCTTAATAAGACACAACACCCTTGCCCTGCTAGCACCTGTGCTTCAGAAACTCCTAGGGACCTCTCACAATATAACAGTGCTGTATCTGTTTTATTGCAGGTATTCTACACATGCTCTAACTGGACTATCAATACATAGGAAGAAAATACAGCTTCATTTATATTACCCACCTGTGCTTTGCTCATAACACATTTAAGCTACTGATTTGATTATTTTTAATTTTTTTAGCATGTCTTTAGCACATTCGACTGCTGCTAGGATTGATACTGGCACATATCTGGATTCTCTTAACTATATTCAGAATCTGTATTTGTTGAAAAACTAGCATTTACCATACTTATGCAACGATCCATGTACTTAAAGCCACAATTTCCAATTTTTTTCAGAAGAAAACCCTAATCTGAATTGTAGGCTGAGCTACTGAGTGGTATAAGGCTAGAGGATATAAAGGCCTAAGATAAAGTAGCTGAATTTTGATGTGTCAAACTAATGCTTAGTAAATACTCCAGAGCTAATTTTTAAGGGCACTGCACTCACAAGTGGAAATCTCCTCCAAGATTATTTGAAGACTGTTTGTCCACCTTAGTAGCCAAAAAAAATATGAAATTCTGGGAAAAGGTTACAAAAGAATGCTCAGTATCTATACACACTTGCTGAACAGAGCATTTTTCTTAGGGGGTGGGGGGGAATGACACATAATAGGGAAGAAAAGTGTTTCTAGAAAGTTACTATAAAAAGATACAAATACCACAGTCTTAATGCCACCACAAAGCTCATTAGAAATGCAGTTAGGTGTGACAAGAAGAATGCATTTGCCCCTTATCAGCAGTTTCCATCACCCAAGCATTTAATTTAATACAACACTCATAATGTCTCTGTTCTCCACCTATTTTCATCAAACTTGTAAGAATGTATACAGTAACACTGATATCTCTATCATGATCTCAAATTGAGTTGGCATTTATTAACACTTTCAAGAGTTATTAAACAGAAAAGGCACCATCACAGGACCCTCTCATAAGGGATGCAATAGAGAACACAAGGCTATTACCTGCTTACTCCCTCTCAAGACACTCAGGAAGTGCTTTTAGAAGGTAAAAGTATGACACATACCAGGACATCTCATAGCTTTATCAAAATGAACTGGCATAGCTATAATAGTTATACCCAGCTATCACACCATGTCACATGAACCACAGTTTTTGTTGCTTCTTTTTAATCTCTCTGCTAGAATATGTAGAGAAGTTTGACCAAGTTCAGATGCACAAACTCAACCAGTAACTCGGTTCAGGGATCCCAGATTCCACCTAACAGCAGCCTAACCACAATCCACTGCAACATACATTGCAATATCGGTACAGCCCAAGCCAGTGTAAGGATAGGTGAATTTTACAAGGCCATGGCGATTAAACCAATCTGATGATAGAAAAGAATAAACAACAGTACAACTTTATACTCATTTGTGTCCAGTCCAAAGCCTGCAAACTGTAATGGAAAACAAGCCCCATACATAACACAGAAGAAGAAAAAAATGCTGGCAACACTTACCCTTATGGTCTGGCTACAATTCCTCAAGAAAAACATCTACTAGCCTAACTTAATTATCATCACATTGTTTCACTGTTACCTAATTTGAAATATTTACAATACACTTCCTCAGAACAATGGTTTTTAGGACATCACTGTGAAGAGACATGTCACTTGGTCAAATAAAAAAGCTTTATTTTTCAGAAAATAGCACCAAACTCACTGCCACCGTTAGATATGAGCAATCCCATTATGAAAGGAAAGTCCCTCCATGCAGTTTTAGTGGAAGCAGGCTGTCTCTGGCTTGAGACCCCTGTTGCCCCATGCCATCCTCTTTGTACCCCTGAGGCCCACAAAGTGACACACTAACAATTACCGCCAACAGTAGGGGATTTCTGTCTTCGGCCTAAAAGCCAATAGGAAGCTCTATAACTCAGCATGGCATAGGAAACTACTTCCAGGTAAGGTGGGTGCTTGCAAAGACAAAAGCATTAAGGAGAACAGGATAAAGTTCTGCTTTGCCTGTTACTAAGGCACAAACTTATTTGCTCAAACCCTTGTCAGATCAAGCCAGATACCTGCTCTCATGGGTGAGAGCAAATTCCTTTAAAGTTTAGCTTCTATCTGAGGTATACCATAAATACTTCTTTTGCTGTCCTTGCCCCTGCTCACCGGTAGTACTATTGTTCATTGCTAGTTCCTTCCATGCATCGTAACTGGAATAGTGCAATGAAGTTTTCCTAACTTCTGCCTAAAGGCAAGTTTCATTGAAACAAGCAAGCTCCATAAAACCTTTGAATATCAGATACTCAGCTAAATTAGCAGACAAAATAATCAAAGAATAAGCTATGTACACAAAAGCTATCAAAACAAACCCAGACCTTCTAGATTGCTCAAAAGAAACTTAAAAGAACTAACACTACAATAACATTAAAATAATCCTACAGGCCTTTATCACTGAACTGTACAAAGCAAGCTTGCACAACCACCTCAACTCCCCAGGACTCTATCAGCCTTATGATCCTAAAAGGCACCTCACCTAGACACAGATTTTATCACTTTCCCTGCCTGCCTTGGCAAAGCCAGAACAGCTGAGATAGTAGGCTTGGTTTCTACTTAAAGCCCTTCTCACATCTTCATTTCCTAAGGTGCAGCTAACAAGAATGTGGCTTACCTTACTGGGGCTCCAGTCATTTCCCTCACAGTGATGGTAGCACTCTGTGCTCAGAAATGTAACTAACAATAGTATCTGCAATAACACAATATTAGGAATTTTTATTAATACTTAAGGCAGCTAATAAAGTACTTTAATAAAGAACTTTAATTGTGAAGTAATAAATCACACAACTTCTAGCAAAAAAAATCACATTTATCTTATTAAGCACCTCTAAGTGCTGTATTTAAATTATATGTACTCATCCTCTATTTTACTGGTGTTTTTAAGGCATTGCTTCTTAGTTTATACCATATAGTGTGTTCAAGCACTGTTTTCATATTAGCTAGAGAAATTCATGTCAATGACTTACTCTTTGTATGTATGAAGAGTTCAGTTGCAAGTGACCTACAATACAGTACTTAAAAGACATTGAAACTCATTTGTGGAAATATTCTGAAGCTTTAAAAAAAACTTCTCATCTTTAAAATGTGGGTGTTCCCTTTTTTTAGAGTAAGAGCTTGATACAAGATTGCTCTTACTTCGATGCTACAAGGAAACAACTCTTTATTCCAGTGAATGTTATAGACTCGATTTTCAGTAAGTTTGTGTGTCTTACTCATTCTACATGTCTGTGATCTCGTGAAGAAACCGTGTGGAGCTTGCCGAGCTCATCAAGTGGAACCCACAAAATACGGTGAAGAGGAGGTAAGTTTATCTCTCTCATTTAACATATGTAAAAAGCAACCTGCAGATTCTCAGGGCATTAAGCTCTCTCTGTACGCGACCCTTTCCCCCCGCCGTGTAAACGCCTTGCCCTCCGGCGGCCCTGTGATGGCGGGTGCCCTCCACAAGGCGCCGGGGGGAAGAGGAGGAAGGGCCGCGCGGACAAGGCCTCGACGGGCCGCCTGAAGGAAGAAGG